CAGTATAGAGTATTTCATTGGCCGGTAGACTAATAATTGCTCTCTCAAACAATTTTATTATTCGATCAGTGTCCTGATGTCAATAATTTTTAGTTTCAGTGACTATTAATACTTTGTTTGAATTTTTTGCCATTCACGAGCAAAATGTATTGTTTGTTATTTGTTTTATATGGAGTGTAAACCGTTCCGGCACCCCTTTCTTAAAAGATGCAATATGGATGACAAAATGTATTATATTTAATATGGTTGTTTGATATTTTATACTGAAAATCAAATTATCATAAACTAAAAATCTGTATCAGTAGGACACGCAGTATTTCCATGTACAGTTTCCATCAAACAACATTATTAAAAATTATGTGTTCTCATTCCTGATGAGTCTTTAAAAAAATCACATCAAAAATATTAGTTTATTATGCTTGACAAATGCTTTTTGATTTTTTTAAGAATGGCTAAAAGGCAGTTTTGGTACGATATTTACAAGCACGCTAGTAAATTCAAGGTTTTTCTGGGGTTTTTCTGGAAAAAAACTGCAATAGCAGTTGCCACCTAGTGAGGGAGAATGAGCTTGTTACTTTGAGAGCTGAGTAGTGCTAAGGCTTCAAACAAGACCACACTGCATGTCTTTACTCACACTCAGTTTGTAAATTTCGCATTTCTATTTCTACCTTTAGAACCATCTTGCACTTTTGTTTCTTTTATTTTAGGGCTTCAATAATGGAGAAGAAATCTAGGAAAAGAAAGCATTCTAAGAATCGCCTTGATAATTTTGGAGCAAAGAAGAAGAAAGTTGAAAGTGGTTCAGTCGTTGTTTCTGGAGAACTTAAAGTTGAACATAATCTAACATATGCAAATAAGCCAAAAAGGAAACGCCCTTTTTGGAAAGAGAAGAAAAATAAAAATTCACAGAAAAGAAGCGTGCACAATAACGAAAAAGATGGAAAACAAAATCATAAGCAAAATTCTGAAATAACTGATATAAATAATGCAATCAGGGATAATACCAAAATGAAACCATCACTTAAAATGCAAAACTTAAACGAAAAAGGTTATCCAGCTAGAAGTACTGAGCTCAAAAATACAGGTGTTTCACATTGTAACACAACAAATAAGACTGAGGAAGATGAAGCCAGAACTAAAAATTTGAGACATGAGAAACCCGAAAAAAAGAAGGAATTTAAGAAAAAGAGGAAATCAAAGCAGATGTCCGGAGAAAAAGTAACATCTTCTGTTAGTGTGTCATCCAACTGGAAAAAGCTAGCGGAGGTAACTTACAGCTATTTATTGCACTGTGGCAGATAGCGTTATTTATTGTTCAGAGATTTTATCATCTCTCTGCTTTTGTATCTGCACCTATGTATCAAATATGCCTCAATTACTTGCTATATAAATCTTGCTATATAACTAACATCATGTCACACTTTGGCAGCTACTTGTACACTAATAATACATGTACAATACAATAATTCAAGATTGTCTAATGGTGGCTATTTCTATGTTGAAATGTTCACAAATCAAGCATTTCCAGCCATTCTGAAACCAGATTTACAAAAAAATGATTTTCTTTATCTAGTCTATGAATTTTAAGACTGAGACAAAGACTGCAGTAAAACCAAGGAGTGTCCCTGTGAAACCAGTTGAGCAAGTGCAAGATGAAAAGAAAAGGGCAGAAAGGTATGCTGTAGCTTTTCTGTAACATACCATACCATTTTGATAAATTTGTAGGATGCCTTTGCTGAATTCCAAAGTTAGCAAAAATCACATAAGTTTAACACATATACTGATCTGTAGATATAAATCCCAATGCATGTAATTTAATCTGTACGTTAGCAAAAGTATCGATTCTTGATTTCAGTAATTGTGTTTTTTATGTTGCATTGATTTTCTCTTTGATGCAGCCCTGAGATATGGTTTGATGACGTAGATCCAATGGTCTTGCAGGCAACGGCTGCTACAGCCAGTTCAAATTCACAACCAAAGAGTGGATATGAAGGGTGAGATATGCTTTTTATATTCTACATTTATTCTTGATTTTATTCTCATCAATAGTCATTGGCAGGATTATACATTCTCACCAATTTGTTGACATGAATTTAAATGCTCACTATTTTGTCAACAATTCTCACTGATAAATTGCTGAGAAACTGGATTCTCTGCAACGAAAGGTTAGAGTTTTTAAATCATGATCGCTAACAAATTAGTGACAATTTATATTCATGCCAAAAAAACGATGAGATTTCAAATTGAATGGTAAAAATAAGACTTGTCAAACTTTGAGGACATAAGAGTTCTTTTTTACCAATAGTTTTTGCAAACAAAAACATGGAAATGCTACAAAACATTTTTAAAAGTAATCTTGATTGACATTTGGTGTTATGCAGCAAGTCTTCAAACTTTATATAAACAATGTATTTTACACACTTAAATGTTGTATGGGATCCATATCAAACACCACGCGCTGCAACCACCATTGAATTAATAAAGCAAACAGATGGTAAAACTTTTGTTCTAAATTTATTCAACGTACATGAATACATCTTTTAATGACTTCTGAACTATACTGTCTGTATTACTTATTTTCAGTTTAACTCGTTGTATTGCCATGGACTGTGAAATGGTCGGTGCTGGTTTTGACGGCAAAGATAATGAACTAGCTAGGGTCTCATTAGTAAATGAGTATGGTGGGTGTGTGTACGATAAATATGTGAAACCTCGGGAGAAGGTGACAGATTATAGAACAGCTGTTAGCGGTATCACACCAGCACATATCAGAAAAGGTAATACATGTACTGTGTTTGCTCTATTAGTAGCCTATGGGTTTATTTAAATTACAGAGTTGTGTCTGCTGTCAAAATGAGTGTATTTTAATGAATACTGTATTGCATCTGAAATTATGGTCTGTGTGTGTACGTAAACCAC